GATTTGATAACGACTGTAAAATGACGTTGTAAAGACATCGTGTGTTTCATGTATTGCTTGTTGAAGAAAACAATTCAAACAGAGATGCACTGTATGTGCGGTGCTGATGATTCGATAACGACTGCAAAACGACGTCTTAAAGACGTCATGTTTTTTTGTGGTCATGGTTGCTGAAGCAATGTTTCTAACCGAGGATAAAAGGGTTTTTTTGTCACGACCACTTTACGACACACGACCACATAACGACCACAAAAAGACGTCTTTTACGCGTTGTGTGCCCACTGGGTTAGCACACCACTGTCTGGGCTGCATAGAATATACAGTGACCTTGTGCCATTTAGCACACCACACTGTCTGTGGGGTGCATAGAGTATACAGTGACCATGTGCCATTTAGCACACCACACTGTCTGTGGGGTGCATAGAGTATACAGTGACCTTGTGCCATGCAGTGACCATGTACCATTTAGCACACCACACTGTCTGTGGGGTGCAGAAAGTATACAGTGACCATGTGCCATTTAGCACACCACACTGTCTGTGGGGTGCATAGAGTATAGAGTACCATGTGCAGATGTGTTACAGGTATTTAGCACTCTACATAGTATACTTTTCATAAAGGCACTACGTAGAGCATAACTGTGCTGCAGTGAACATGCATTGTACATTTAGCACACCACAGTGTCTGCAAGCTGTATTGTCAGAGAATGTTGTGATCATGTGTTACACTCATGTATGCTTCATGATAGTACAATGCACATGTACTTGTACATGTATGTAAGCTTCAAAATGTTTAAAGTTACATGTACAGTTACTAGAATTTTTCTTACAGGTGCAGGAGATCCTTTGGGCTAAAGTAGATGGTTCCTTGAAAATTTTAGATGAATCCAACCAGCTTTATTTGACTTTTATAATTTAAACAAGTGTGAGACAAATCAGCATACATATTTCATTTGGGCAACACAGTGGTACATGAAGGCATTACCAGGCTTTTTATTGGCTTTCTAACATATTTACATTTTGTTAATCTGCAGAGTGGAAAAGGAAATTTATACCTGTAATAATTTTTTTTCTTCAATTGTCTTCTGTTTGAAGGTTCCAACTCCAACGAAAATGATGTACAAGGTTGGAAAACAAAACCTCTCGTGGAGTGGACTTCCCAAGATGTGGGTCTGTGGCTGACTAGTCTGAATTTGAGTGAACACCGTCGTAGTTTTGAGGAGAATGAGATTGCAGGAGAACATCTGTCTGCTCTTACCAAGGATGACTTGCAAGAGCTAGGTGTTGTAAGGATGGGCCATCGATTGACCATCAGCAAAGCCATTAAACAACTCTGAAGATAGGAAAGTACAGTGAAAATTTGCATGTACATGTAAATACAGGCACATGGGGCTATAACTATTGGTTTCAAGGATACACTTGTAACTTATTTACTCATGGGCAGTGCATTGGTGTAAAGTTACTGCTGAAGCTGGTTAGCGTAACAAAATCAGACCAGTAAAATAGAAACTAGAGACACAGAAACAGATATTGCAGTTTTGCATACCTGTATCTGTGTCACTGAAGGCCTTTTGTCTTGAAAAAGAGTCGCAGGGTATGACATTGAGTGTTCAACAAGTTTTTCCTTCTCAAATTTGTTTTGAAGGATAAAGGTTGCTTAGCAGCTAATGTGTGTGAATCTGTGTGTGTGCATTCCAGGGAACGCAAGGCATTGGCCAACATGGCTAGTTATTAGACCTGTACAGTGTTGATAAGCAGTGTCCAACTTGTTATGGGAAGGGTTTGGGAGTATTTATACGTTGATTGCATAGCTTAAAGAACACAAAACTTAACATTTATATAAGAGGAGGCTCTGTTACATTTATGGTAAAATATTAAGTTACAGTTTTTAAAGTAATAAGAAAAAGCATGTGAATGATATAATTGTATAAAGTGTGATAATTCAAAATTTCAAAAGTATATGCCAGGTATTCCCCTGTGTTTTCCCATTGGAAATGATTGGGTTTATGTGTACATGTTTATCAATAATTTTTGGAAAATACTAAAATGTGGGTTATGGTATTTAAGTAAATATTTTTGGATTTAGATGAGACAGAAGCATGGTGCTGCTGCTCACAAGGTTAATGATGCTTGTGTTGAGTAATTTGGACAAAAAATTTGGATGGGCTGTACAAGTCCCTATAAAAGAGGTTTGTGTGTTGCGTTGCTGTTTAATTTTATGGTTTTGTTTTTCTAATGAATATTTAGTCATATAGAATCATTGTACTGTATTTCAATAAATATCTCAGAAGGAGTCCAATCAATCTAAATTTGTATATAATATAAAAAAGAGATGAGAATCCAACGAAGATTGAAGATGATTTCTTTTTGGTATTTGTAAGTTCAATTTAAATGGTGTTAAATTTGATTAAAATATCAAAATTGATAGTATTTTGTTTGGTACATGTACATAGTGATGACGAGAAAGATCAAAGTACATGTAAAATGAAAGTAATATGAACTAAGTCTCTTTTTGTCGAAAAAAGAGATTTTGACATGGGATCGAAGCATAATATACAGGTACATGTACGTATAAGACTGAACGTGGAATGCACTTACAAGTGTATTTCCAGTTTTTATTTTTCTATACATCGCATTATGTAAGTTTTATAGGCAAATGTTCTTTTTGTTTTGTTATATATTTATTAAAACTTTTGTAGAAATGCCAAGTTTTTGAGTTAGTGTTTCTTCCGAAGTCAGAGAAATCGAAGTCTAATGTTCAAAACTAGAATGTTACTTGATTTAAATTTCAGTGAGAAGAAAAAATTACCATTGTAAGAAATGTTGGTTTATTATTGATAGATTAAACGGTGCATTTTAGTTATTCCATTTATTTACACCTTCAGGTTATTCAATCTGTAATTGTATCTGAATATATGAACACCGTTTTGTATTGGTTTACTTGTTTAAAGTAGCCACAGTTTACCTCGATAATATGCTCTGCAAACAATGTATCTGTAGGTTTTCATCAGTTCAAGGAGGAAGAAAGTTTGTTTTCGTACATTATTTAAAGTAAGAGAAGGGATGCGTTACTTCCTTGTCAAATGTACATGGGTTGCCAAAAATGCAATAGCAGTTAAAAGCTTAATTTTTCTTGCCACTTGAGTCTCTTTATCAAACATGACATGACGTGGCAGCGTTATGAGGTTCTGTTGTTTGGTTCTGTTGTATTGCAAGACGATTGATTACAGTACAAGCACAGGCATAATAATGCACTCTCTGTTGGGAACATGAATTTAAAAGTGGAAGGCTGGTTTTATATGCCGTCTAACCTTGTTTTTACATAGTCGGCCATTGCTTATTAAGTGCACTGTCCATACAAGATTCTGCTTATAACAAGGGCATGTTAGGTCCCAATCCTTTTTGTTATTGTTTTCTCTCTTGATAATTCAAAGCTCCTGTTATAATGGTGATTTTTCAAGTCCGAAGGACCCGTTATTAACGAGATGCGAGTTTACCACAGAATGACCCAGTACCTATCTGCATGGCCTGTTGAAGGCGTTGCTCCTCCATTGTACATGTACAATGCTTTTATTTTATCTGTGTGATTATTACAAAGTGTGCAGCATAATCGGGATTTTCGCCATATTCATTTGTTGTAACATATAACATGAATAACTGGAATGTTTTATAGATTTGTACACAGAGTAATTAAGAAGTGGTTTAGTGCCATGCTAGGCAACTTGTTTTGACTTTCGTGAATGCTATTTCGTGCTATAACGATTGCAGAAATATCCTATGCTACTGGAACATTTATTTGCACAACAAATCCTATTTTCATGCGAAATGTTGTCGCATGTGCATTTACTTTTCTTTCTGTTTTACTTCAGTTTCTCAGTTCCAGTTTAAAGGTATATTAATACATGTAGCAGAATAGCACGCTCTTTCCGCTTGATGTCTGGTAGTTATACGTAAACGTTAATATTTTGCATTCAGTAGTTGCTATAGATAACAGAACACTTGTAACAGGTACGTAGCTGCAGATGCATCAATGGAAAAGTGAATTTTATATTTGATGCCGAAGGACGATTTGAGAGAAATAAAGCGTTTGTCAATAAACTGGTTTACGTTGTTGTTTTGTATATATTCAAGAACATGAAATCAATCCAATTTTGTAAGGCTGCTGTGCAGGGTTGGCAATTTAAAAAAGGATCTGGTCAGTATCTGACTGAATGACTGATATTTGTGTGTAGGGCATTAGTTACCGCCACACCGACGTTGTTTCAGTCGGACACCTGGTTACATGTACCTATAATTACTGTATAATGTGATAGGGCTCAGATAACAAAGATTTGGAGACCATACTTACGCGCGTGTATTGTGGGCGGGTAGTCTCACGTTGGAGAAAGCTGCTGAAGTTACAAAGTTTGAAGATTTAATTATTGGATGAATAGATATGGGAAAACCCTATTTTGACGTATTTCTGCTGGTACATTGAGTTTGAAAGCCTGTGCTCAGCAAAGTCGTAAGTTTTGGCTGCATACATGTACATGTACATTTCACGAAAACATTCAGCCCGNTACGATTGCAGAAATATCCTATGCTACTGGAACATTTATTTGCACAACAAATCCTATTTTCATGCGAAATGTTGTTGCATGTGCATTTACTTTTCTTTCTGTTTTACTTCAGTTTCTCAGTTCCAGTTTAAAGGTATATTAATACGTTTAGCAGAACAGCACGCTCTTTCCGCTTGATGTCTGGTAGTTATATGTAAACGTTAATATTTTGCATTCAGTAGTTGCTATAGATAACAGAATACTTGTAAAAGATACGTAGCTGCAGATGCATCAATGGAAAAGTGAATTTTATATTTGATGCCGAAGGACGATTTGAGAGAAATAAAGCGTTTGTCAATAAACTGGTTTACGTTGTTGTTTTGTATATATTCAAGAAAATGAAATCAATCCAATTTTGTAAGGCTGCTGTGCAGGGTTGGCAATTTAAAAAAGGATCTGATCAGTATCTGACTGAATGACTGATATTTGTGTGTAGGGCAGTAGTTATCGCCACACCGACGTTGTTTCAGTCGGACACCTGGTTACATGTGCATATAATTACTGTATAATGTGATAGGGCTCAGATAACAAAGATTTGGAGACCATACTTACGCGCGTGTATTGTGGGCGGGTAGTCTCACGTTGGAGAAAGCTGCTGAAGTTACAAAGTTTGAAGATTTAATTATTGGATGAATAGATATGGGAAAACCCTATTTTGACGTATTTCTGCTGGTACGTTGTGTTTGAAAGCCTGTGCTCAGCAAAGTCGTAAGTTTTGGCTGCATACATGTACATGTACATTTCACGAAAACATTCAGCCCGCGGTTTTCTATCTATTGCAATCTGCAAGTACTTAGGTTGATATGTCCTCCAATAGTATTATGTAACCACGTGTTTTTAATGTACATGTACATGTATTGTGATTTATCTTATCAGAGCCTGATCATTTACCACCCTTTTATGTGACGTGTAATTTCACAACCTGATACCACATGTTTTGCTTTGATTTGGTTAATTCCAGATTAAACCTACCGGTAGTTACATTCCACAAGGTGACAGTGCGGGAAGTGTCAATGACTCAGCCTCATTAAAAGCGTAGGTTGATCCTGGCAGACGGGACAGCAGAAAGCGTTACACAAAAGACTTTAGTTTTAGATGAACTGCAATATGTAAATTTAATACATGCAGATGCAGCAGCCAAAAAAGTGAAAAAAAATTATCACATGTAACATAAAATAATCATGTTAAACCAAATGTATATCGTAACCGACGACTACGAACGTGCCAATGCCAACAACGCAGACACAAACGTTGTATATGGGCCCTTTCACCCCGACAGACGAAAAAAGAGTGAAAAACATACACATTATTCGCCCATTTTTTATAATCATGACGACAAAGAAAAAACCTTGTCGATTATGACGCCAGAAACAATCTGGTACGGCGTAAATCCAGTCTATAAATTTGGCGTCAAAGAAAAAACCCGAAAATATCGTTGGGTATCAAATCTGTTACGAACTGCTAGAGCCTACGATTGGTATACTCAACCACATAAACTTTGCGATTTACAAATACATCGGCACGCAAACGGATAAAAGTCAAACATTCCACCCAATACGATTAATGCTTACAGAGCCAGTCAAGATAAAGGCAACTTGGAAAAAGTCGAATACGTGGTTAAACCACCTGACACCGACAAGAACTGCATGTATGTCAAGTTACATACTGCGACTACGCTGTTTGACCATCATCAAATATCGCAAGATCAACTTGATAAATATATCGGTAAACGTTGCGACGCGGTTTCGTTGATTAGTCCCAAAGACGTGTGTTTTGGAACACATGCATCATTACCTTGCCGTGCCAGCGTTAGATATAGAGTCGAAAAGGCCATTTTAAAGATTAACAATTTCAATGCCATTTCGGATAAAACAGCATTGCAATCTTTATTGGGATATGACAGTGATAACAGCGACTCAGAGTAATTAACATTATAGTAAGCCCATGTTTATAACCCTGGTTATCCTTGGGATAGCGGGGTTATTTTTTAATTAAAAAAACTAAGTACTACTTATAAAAGACGATGACTTGGTATTACCTACCACCAGATGTGGAAGAGTTTTATAATTTGATCGATCAAAAACCTCCCCCATCGGCGTATGTAAAAACCAAAGAAGACACATGCCCACATGTGAATAAAAGAATAGAAGACGAATTTGTCAATTGTTACAAATGCTTTAGAAGATTACACCCTGATACAGACTTTGAAGTAGAAAACGTAGGTGGCAAATACAATCAGCGTTTTGTTTACAAAAAGCCCAAATCTAAAACAAACAACATACTCAAACAACTAGACATTCAATTGACGGAAGATCAAGCGGGTCTCAGAACACAAACTAAACCAAATTTTAGGAGGCAAGATATCTAAAGGAAAACCACTTCGCGCTCTTATTGCCGTCTGTTATCAAGACGTTACGAAAGAGCGGGAAGACAAAGTAAACGACCTATCTCAAATTTCTGATAAACACTGGAGCGCTGCCGTTATGAAATATATACTTTATGAAGAAGGTCTTATTTAAAACTGTTTATAATAAAATGGAAACTCATTTTTTTTTGAGTGAAAGTGAGCAGATGTTTGAATTAGAAAATGTCACTAATAATTTAAAAGGTGACAAATCTGTTAAAGTAAAAAAAGTAAGCTTTCACCCGGGGTATTTTAACATTACAAAATCTACTGAAATCGAATGGCAAACTCAAGTCGAAGGAAGTCCTGCATATACAAATGGTAGACCGAGAATCAGACCTAGCGGAGTGAGAGAAGCAACACAGCCCAGGCGCAATGAGCGCGCTGTACCTGACCAACCCCCACCAAGCACAAGCCCAGCAAACACTAGACCTGGGATACAAGATATTAATATGACCTTTATAAAAACACTTGAACTTAGAATACCATTCTCAGAATTAGAAGCAGACAGTTCAGTTTTGTTTTATGACGTAATTACTCATTATATTTGAGCTTATGAGGCAGGAAATCTAGATGAATATAGCGCCTCAGTGAACCAAAAAATAAATGACCTCAACGAACAAAAAGCAAACTTGCAAAGATTATATCTAAAAGAAGGAATTATTAGAAATCGAGCAAAAGCAACAGAATTTCTTATGCTTTTAAATCAAGAAAAAATCGATATCTATCAAGAAGCCTGCCTCGTGGCCTTGGAGTTTATTCAAGAAGGATTTTTAGGCGACAACGCAGACGAAAGAACGAAAACTATAGGAAGCGCACAGACTGAACCCAAAGACGCCCTGCTTGTTATGTGTTTAAATAATGCCCCGGTCATGCGACAGTTGAACAAAATTTTTTTGAAAATTTTTGCAAGGTGGAGATCGTGGGAGTCTAGTTATTCCTCCGGGGTTTTATAACGTGGATTGGTGTGATTTTATTTTAAACGCCATTCTGGGTTTAAGTTTTAAAGTTCACCGAGACTCCAATTTAGTTACAATTATGGTGACAGACGAAAATCTCAGATTGCGATTGGGAAAAGAAGTTGGCAAGTTGTTAAATTCGCCAAGAGGTAGACTCGTCACAAACGTTATTTAAAAGGAAAAATAATAGCTTTGGATACACAGTCGTCAAATAAACAATCATTTTAATTATTTCAACGGTCAACCTTCTTGTGTGTTGTGTTCTGTTACAGATCCTAGCAATTAAACCACCGCTAAACCACTTGTAAACGAACATGTAACGAGTTTTGAATTTTCGTTAAGAAACGAAAAAGAAGAAATCATCAACAACAAAAAGACCGTAAAATTACGATCGAGCTAGAAATTTTTTAAAACAGACCGAGCTAAACTTTTTGTAAAACAGATCGAGCTAGCATTTTTTAAAACGCGTATATAATAAAAAGAGATGACAACAAACGTTCAGTCGAACATTTACCCAGACTCAAGCGGGTACCCTACGCTAGAATTACTAGACAAATCAAAAGCCAATGAAGCAGAAGAAACAACAGTCTACCGCCTTCAAAAGATTGAAGACATCAAATCGCAAATCTTACGAGAGCGCAATGCACGTGAGACTTCATACAAAAAGATTAAACGGGTGCTCACCGCGCTAGATTACGTGGAATATGGAGTGGAAGCAATAGGCGCTACACCGCTCGCGATTGGAATCCCCAAAGGCATTACTATCGGCGCGTTTGGGGCATACGTGTTGTTGAAATATACCAGTGGTAGACTTGCTCACAAAACCAAGAAAAACGACCAAATCTGAATGCCTGCAGACGCCAAGCTAAACACCATCGACGAGCACGTTTCTCACGCTGTCGAAGGCGGCGATGTGTCTCAAGAAGAATTTGCACTGATTTTGTCTGAACTTACAAAATATAACGAGATGAAGAGAAAGATTCGCTCAAACACAATGACAAAGTTACAAGAAGCCAAAATGGACAAAGCCGAATTTGACCGCGATGTAAAGGAAAAAGCGGAAACTTTATCCAATGAGAGGGCAGCAGATTTAAAAAAAGATCTTATGAAAAAACTTGGCGAATAACTTTAACCAAGTCTG